TTCTAGCTCATTAGTCTAGGAGTTAAGAGTTCGAATACAAGACCAAAGTTGTTTTGTTTGATTTTCGGCTGAGGCACCGTGGATATGCACTTATAAAAAGTCCAATGCTAAACCGAAACGATCGAGTGTTGCTTCCAGATTTTCAACACTTGTCTCACTTAGATCGGTTGATGATTTAAATGAAATTCAGCAACTTCCACAACCCCACTCCAGAAGATTGATTATTACTGATTTGTAATGCCTTATTTCCCTTTGTTTAAAATTTATAAAGTAATAATTTATTCTAAAGTATAGAAATTACATGAGAATGTAGTTATATTATTATATTTAGTAAAGTCATTTCCTTCTATTGACCTCACTAGGCGATTATCGCGGAATTCGTATCGCTAAACGAACCAATATGAAACCTGTCTGATATATAACACAATAATCTATTAACAAGAATCTGTGATTTTCTCCTGGACTTTTACGATGTCTATCTGACATAAAATGTATCTGAATAATAATGATTGACAAGAGGTTGCGAACCTAATTGAATACTACCGAAATGGTTATTTACTGGAATAAATAGTAGATTTCAGTTTGCAAAACGACCAACTTATCAGTACCTCTTTTAATAAATTATTGAAATACTGAACTAATAAAAAAAATTCAAGTATAATAATTCAAGTATAATCTTCCATGTCAAAGACAGGAAAAGTCAGACCGTTACATAATCCAACTGACAACATGAATTTTAAAAAGACTATCACCTGGATAGTATTCGGTGATATGTTAGAAACTGCAAGTAACAAGTACGTAGGATAACTGGTGGTCTCAAAATCAAAGCGTCATCATACTTATCGAAATCACTGAATTTACCATATACATTACTGTTATGAAGCCTTTGCTAAAATACACTACCTACTTATAAGTAGTTAAACATAATTCGTAAAATAATACAACCATTAGGCTTGGAATTTGCTGTAATGACATCAGTCATAGATGTTTACCACTGAGAAGCGTCATACTAAAAATGAAGCAGCCGTCCAATGCCTCATAAAAATTAGTGGCCATATATCTAGGGTGATTTCCAAATAGAGTGCATTAATAACACTATTTCGTGTCAATGTGGACTACTGTAGTGTAGGTGTCATTACCAAGGTTTGATTTGATAATTTCGAATAAATTGAGCATTGGGTTCATTGTTATAAATAAAAATAATATATTTGTAATATCCCAATGAGTAGAAAATCCAATTTTCTACTCATTGGGATATTACAAATATATTATTTTTATTTACTGTAGTGTAGTTTAAATATCTTAATACAATGGAATTATAAGATCATTAAGTAGTTGAAACAGTGAAGTAATCTATGTCTATTGCAATCTTAAAATCAAATGAAAGTTTACTAATTCTTAATGTTAATATTTTACCAAATAATATTTAGTTTTATAATACTTCAAATGTTTTCATTTAAACTAATAACATGCGTCTGAGAAAATTATGGTCTAACAGCCTTACTTTTGGTATGATGGACTTGGCAATTCTATCAGTTTAATGTCGAGAACTGTCTTGAGACAACATGACTGAATCAACAAACTGACTAAAAAGCACTGTATTAAAAATTAGTGACTATTCAAGTAGAAGATAAGAATTTGTTAAAATTTCACTGAGATGAGTATAAACGTTAGTCACAAATGCGGCCGAAAGTGGGGAGAGTCAGCTCTCTCTCTCTCTCTTCAAGTGCTCTCACATGGCCACGCGTGTACAGCCAATGCCAGGGAAGTCTTACTCACTGGATTCTCGCGAAGGGAGGTGTTGTTACGAAACTGAGATGACAAAAATCGGGTTTTCGGCGCTTTAACTGCGTTGGTGGATATACAGGCTCCTCCTAAGTGAGTTGGAAAACCCTGATCCCAAACCAATGGTGAACATGGGCTCCAGGATCCTGGAGGAGCAAATGGTGTATGAATCGATTATCGATCATCGGCTACCATGGGACTACATCTCCTTACGTTGCTCTACTGCCTTGTTTATTAGACCTGTAGGTCGAAGCCTCTGTGTGTGTTCTCTAAGAAAACCACCTGCTTCAGTTTGGGAGCCGGGGCAGTATCCCAGCTCTTACACAAATCGAATAATTATGTGGCACATATCTGTTTTGTGCCTCCCTGTAGCATCGTTTATGTATTTAAATAAATAATAATCTTTGTTTTAAATAATAATACCGTATGCAGTTTTGACGACTGATACTTTGTTTCTACCTGATGATTTCCATCTGAAATATTAAGTAGTGTGAATCTCTTATAGTATACATTCCATTATAGGAAAACAAATTTATTTTACTTCAAGTTGAAAATTCAGAACATTTATTGAAAATGCATTTCGAATTGTCTCTGGATACTGGTCTTTCATATTTCTTAGTGTTTTAATGAATATTTCACACTCAACACAACTATTAATACTTTTTAAAAAAAGCTGATATGTTTTAACATGAATTACTAAGTCGAAGGCTCCGTGTGTGTCTCTCTAAGAAAACCACCTGCCTCAGTCTGAGCACCACGAGCAGTACCAAACCACACACACAAACCAAGTGACGTGTGTGGTGTACACGTATTCGGTACCCCTTTGTACCAATATTTATGTTTTTAAGTAAATAAATAAATATGTGTTCGATCACCTTAAAGATCTTATTTAGATAAATGCTGATTAGGTAAATTTATTTTTGTAACTTCGATATCAACCAAAATGATAAGGAAATTTCTTTTAACTATTTCTTTATTAAAAAGAATGAAAACGTTTCAGTGAAACAAACCTACTTTAATAGTTGAGATCATGAGACGATTGAAGCTAGACCACCATGGAAAACCTGAAAGCATTGGAAGGCCATCTCGTGGTCTAGTGGTTAAACACTACCACGTGAGACTGATAGGTCCAGGGTTCTAATCTCGTTGGCGGGGTTGTGAATGCGCACCGCTGTGGAGTCCCACAATAGGACGAAAAGGCTGTCCAGTGCTTCTAGGTTTTCCATAGTGGTTTAGCTTCAAATGACTCATGATCTCCACTATTGAGATTACTACAATCTCCACAAAACCCCTTCTGATATCTAAACCTATTTTATTCAATATTTGAATACTTTGATTACGTTAAAATAACACTTCTAATTATAAATTATTATTTGCAATGATTGAAATATTTGATTAGATTATGCAACATCATTACGTCTAATTGATTAATGTAGTATATGATCTCATTCATTCATGATCATACAATGGTAGAAATTAATGTACACTTTACTAGGCTGTGATTACAGTTCAGTCTATTGTGAATATCAATCAATTAGTGATTAATGTTCATCTATGAAAATATAGAGATATTCAATCAAGATGTAAAGTTATTAATAATCTAAGTTACGTTTGAGAATATTGTAAATTTTTATCTTCATTTGAACTATCCAATGTTTTTTCACATTATTATAATTACTTATTAGATAGGAATTGTGAATAGTGATGTTTACATCAATTATATTGTCATGCAACCATTTATCTGAATATTGATCGGTCAACGATCTACAGTGAGGTTTAATGAAATATTATTTCATTGATCATAAATAAACTTGCTTGATTCGAATATTAATTTCCAGCTTGTTTTGTAAATAACTAAAAGGAGAGATACTAATTTTAGTGCAGGTAGATTAATGGTGTGACAAGTAAAGATATTACAATTTTTAACCTAATCAATTCCTAATCTAAGCAATAGTAATATTATTTTTTATTTAAAGTGCTGTAAGATGATTTCTATAAAGAAAGGAAAATAACCAAAGTCGTTGCATTTAAAGCTGTCTAAAGTGTCTACAAAGTACTCATTTTAATTCTGAAGGTTAGATTTACCTGATAATCTACTCATTGAGATATAACAGAACATATATTTGCTATTAACTTCCGACTCAATGTTAAATTAATAAGTCCAACCTTGACATTGATACTTATAAACTAATCAATGTTTTAAGAATACTTACATATCTGTCAAAACCGTCATCTTGCATCAGACAACATATTCGATAAAACAGTAAAATATCATCATAGTACTTACCAAGCTTAATGTGTTCAAAAAGTATGTACACTAGGAAAATAGCAACATAGGTACATATTTACATTCTTCAGCCAGTTAAAAAGAAATCCAGAGTTTATGGTTCAAATGTTCTTAACGGGGAAATTATGTAAAATCTAATTATTTTTAGTCATATTTCTGACATTTGAAATGAATATTTAGTCAGCTAATGAATCAACTGATTAATTCATCGACTAAGTACTGTAGTTCATACATCCTTAGAGAGTCAAAGTTGATGTTAAGCTAAACTAGTGGATATAGCACACCAGTTTCATTCACATGGACCAAAGTAGAAAAGCATATTAGCTTCTCAGTATCTGATAAATGATCAGGTGTCGTTTTTATGAATATATCCTATTACAAAGATAAAATGGAATCCATTTTCAGTGCTGAAAACAAATTTATGTCTGACGTTGACTCTGATGGATTACGTAAAGTGAGTGAGTTCGAATCTAATGAAATTGTGTAATCCATCGTGCCATTTCTCAGGCTACATATAACTGGACCTAGTCTTTCTGTTTTTGAGGACAATTATTAATAATATGGCAACATCTTCAGTGTTAACATTTGTCATTTCAGGTATACACAATCACTAATATTATACCATTTGATCACTGAATGATAACTAATTAGTAGATATCTCAATTCCAAGTAAGGTCAGTTAAAACTTTAACAACTTAGTGGTATTTTCATTAATTAACAATGAATGACGCGGATTCGAACGTCACAGCGCGACTGTTATCTACTAATAAGTTTAGGATTACAGCTTAAGAACGGTCTTTTTCAACCAATTGTGTAATAAAACGTGGTATTTTTTGATTTAATAGAAGGTTGTAAGCAACTGATGACAGATTTCAAAGTATAATAATTGATGTTATCTTGCTCTACTCAAATTGGAAAAAGAACAATGATCACAAGCGTTTCGCTTTATTCTACATAATTAACACATTAAAAAAAAGAACAAAGTGGTAATAAGTGATATAAAAAAAAAACAAAAAGTCAACATAATTATTGACAAGTCGGAAACATAATTAAAATAAAAACTGAAATATTTCAGTTAGCATTACATTTTTTGTTGTTGTATAAAATAGGAAAGGTATAAGATAAGTCAAGAGAACAAAAATTATATTTCATCAAGATACAACTGGAACAATCTCTGTCAGTTTACAAATCAACGCTTGTGTTTAAAATACATCTATAATATCGGATAGAAAGTAAAAGATGGAAGATTTATGAAAAAAAATAGAGTATAAAGAAAAAAACTAGACAAAAGTATACAGTATAAATGAATGATTATTCTCTGTGGGAATAAGAATAAAAATAATACTTAGTATAAGCAGTGGTTTTACTTAAGATTTTATCTAAAATAACAAATGAAAAAATAAAATCTGAATTCGCGTTTACAACAATTTGATATTTTTTAAATAATACTAATGAGTATTTGAAAACGTTGTTCACTTATAGTTTATGTAGAAGCGTATATTTAATCCAAGTTCTTTCGAAATGGTTTTATTCGCGTCTATTGACTAGTTTAAGCTGATAAAAAGTATCCGAAAAAAAAGAGAATATAAATTACTTTAACGATTTCATCACTTCTAACTTTTTTAGGAGAATGATATTCATTTTGCTTTATTAAAAGTAATTTTATATTCACAATTAAAAAAAGGGGCACTACATACTATTCCATAAATCATAACTGTTATCAATAAAATCAGTTTGATGACTATCCATAATGTAGTGGCTTAACCTCGCGATAATTCCTTTAGATTTGTTTAGCAATCACCCTGATAACCGTTACTAAATTAATACCAACGGGACATGGATTCAGAAGACAATACGAAGCGACGATTGCAGTTTATTATTGGATCAGATCAACTCCGTCTTCTCACTGTTCTATCGAAATTTATAAAAGGGACTAATCGCTTTGAATTATATTATTGGATAGCACAGATCACAATTACAAGCACATCGAGTGACTTTGGAACAGACAGTCTAATGTGTGTAATCAAGCAAACACAGAGACATATTTATAGTCAAATCGAATTAAGGTGAGACGAGACGAAACAAAGGCTATTAATAAGATTCGAGAACATATTCATACGGGAAAGCGAATGATTCATCGAGCGATATTTAAGCAAACAACCTTTAAGGTAAAGAGAGGGATATGTGAGTAGGCTGTCACATGTGATCAAGCATACATGTTTGTACAGACATGATAGTGATAATAATAATAATACAAAGAAGTAAATAGATTGTTACTGTTCGAATAACACTGTCTGTTAAATAAGTTAATTAAAGGGTTCGACGAAATTAAGCGTAAACAAACTTAATTTTAGGGAGGGTTGCTATAATAATTTATTATTACACGATCATGTGCATTTTGAATTTCCGTGTTCTCGTTCTCAATCATCTTTTTTGTTATCGTCTTTATTTTTCACCACGTTATAATAACAAGGGATAATAATATACAATACAAATCAATATACAAGTCTTTGATTCATTCTTCTTCTTATTGTTATTTTCTTCTTACAACGTCGAAACATACAGATATAATGTTACGAGTTTTTCATGTCTCATGCATGGTAACTTTGCTTGGCGTAAAGATTATTTCATTAGAAGTTGCATTATTAAATGTTTAAAGCAGTAGTATCACAGATAACATGAAAGTACTATCAGTGGGAAAAAACTTTTAATAAGAAAAAAAAGTTTAAAGTAAATAGAACCAGTTCACATAGATGCATGAAAATTACCCTAACTGAATGAATAAAAGAGTTTGCATAAGCTACTGTTATTGATGATATCTGACTATATTATCAATACAAACTTCAATATAAAGTGATTTATTAGAATTTCACCACAACTGACTAGCAGCGTGTTCTGTTCAGGACTAAGTAGCTGTTCGTTCTACTCAAGTATAAGTTAATGCTAATAAGCTGTTAAATGCATCAACATAACTTCGTCAATATCAGTTTATGTGAACAACTATGACATCAATTTGACTTGGGAAATGTAGGAATGTTAGGCAGAGGAAACACAAAAACAGTAAGAGGATTTTTAGAACCTTGGAGCTTTGATTACGCGCATACCATTAGACATTAAAAAAACTCGATCCATCAATCTATAAGATTAAGGGAAAACAACTACAATGTTATGGGTAGAAACAACGGAAACATACATCTAAACAACAGTCACACAGTTATGAATAACAAGAAACCGAATCCTAGGTTAACAAACACAGCAGCCAATCGATTGCGAAGGGGTTTTATTCAGCCATTTATAACTAAATTATGTACTGATGATGTCATATACTGATGATATATATATATATATATATATATATATATATATATATATATATATATATATATATATATATATATATATATATAATGTTGGCGTTTGGGGCAGAACAGTAATTTTTGTAATTTATATCCTTTCCTATCTGGTTGGTTGTTCAAAACTCAATATTACAAAGCATATTTTGATATCCGAATTTTATGCTTTAACAGTCATTTCATATGTTATAAATATTCATATAAAGATGGTGATCAAAATTTAATCAAGTTAAAACGTCAACATGTGTACACTAAATAATAATTCAAGTAATTTTTAAGGGACTTAATTGACGTGTTGTTGCTTAAATTTTGATCCACACACTATTTACTTAAAATAATCGTAATTCTGTGATGAGTTAAAAGAAATATTTCTTTCTCTATAATAAATTTCATTAAAACTCCACAATAACAAATGATGAAATTAAAACATTAAAAAAAAAGTTTTAGTTCCCAAGGGAATAATTCATTGGCAAAAAAGAAATGATAACAATTTACTTACAGCACAGATACCTGTTTGCAAGCATTTTACATGCACAAACATCCACTAAAAGATTGGCTATATAAATAAAATAAGAATAACCATTATTTAAAAAATAATATAATCGAGAATTTATCATCTGAATAAATTAATTATCTGGATTTTGGTGCATCTAGTCGATACCGACCACCACATAGATAAAACTTCAGCGTTTCAAATTATTTATAAAATCTTGCCGAAATTACCTTATGGTTCTAGAATTCGACTTTTACATATAGCAGAAGCCATAAGAATACACATCTAGAAACCCAACCTTTATATACATAAAAAGTTTATACAACTATTGAATCCACCCTAGTGTTCTTCTTAAATACCACTGCATGTTTCAAAACCTTTCTTTTTATTCTCGTAAAATTTTTTAAACATCAATTTCGTTAACACTTGAATTCCTAATTCTAATCTTATGTAATCTGATGATTAATCATATTACCTAATTTTCACTGCACTCGTCCAACTAATTACTTATCATTAATTATGTAACTGTTTGTGATAATTAATTGATCATGAGAATTCACGTTAGTCCTGATCTTAATTTCGATTTTCCAGACGTTATGTAACTAAGTGATTAATATCTCTTTAAACTGACCACCATCCAATTGGTATCGTCTCTACTCAGTTATAAAACATATATGTTAGTGTGAAACCTTGATGAAGAACTAAATGAAACGAATTATCTCATCGTTCAATTTGTCACTCTAAAAACAAATAAGTTTGCAAAATAAAATGAAGTCATTCTATTTCACGATGTCCCATCAGCTGCAAACAGCCTAAAATTACACACATTAATATGATTATAAACAAATTTTCAATGTATTTAAGTTAGTGAAGTTCAGACAAGTATAAGAAAGGAATCATGACAAACGTAATAACACGAGGAATAGTAAACAAAATGTACAAATATAAAATAGTTGAGACTGTTTGGTATTTATGTTGTTATAAAGTAATAATGCAGAGTAGATGACGTCATAGCTACAGGTAATCACAATGAAGATAAGAGGGTTACGTGAGCGTAACTAGATTAAAAGACACGAAGTTCAGCGAAGGGATATCTTATCAACGATTAAATTAGCAAACGATTATATAATCATTCAATGTGATTATAAACTAGATAGAATAAATATGTGAACACTAACAAGATTGTGTAAAACATAAGAATCCGATGAAAAGGGGATTGAAACGCGCTGTCGCTATCACGGAAAGGCTTTTCACAGTTTCCTTGTGCATGCATAGGTCAGGTCAGAAGTGCTTGATAGTTATAACCTCTACAAAACGGAGTAAAATTGTCCTTTGTCATTTGATTATTTTTAATGCATTGGTTATATTCACTTCATATTTACTATTCAAAAGGTGCTTAGCAATTGCAGTTGTGAAGACCTTACTCTCTTTTAGACGTAGGATCTTAAGAACACGTTTAGAAAATCTATTAGAGACCTTTCTCTATATCTTTCCCATATACTTACCACCACAGGTACATGCAAGTTCTTAGAACTGTTTAGAGTTAAATTTTCATGCACCTGTGGTGGCAAAATATATATATATATATATACTAATTTTACTCCGTTTCGCAGAGACTATCAAGCATTTCTGACCTTCTTATATTTGCTACTGTTGCTCTCAAATGAATCCAATTATGATTAAAATATATTGTTAAGACTGTTCTTTATGTAGTAAGATAGTGAATATCATGTATATTGTAAGTAAAAGATAGTAAAATAATTTTTATTAGCTAAAATCTGAACAAAATTAATTAAGGTATGTTTAAATCGATTCTAGCAGCTATTATGAAACGGATAAATTTAAAAAAGGTGTAAGTATATCATATAATTAACTAAGCCATCAATCCAGTCAATTTATCACCATCGTAATAATTCAAGTTTTTGATCGTAAGGTCTTTCCATCCATTTTGGATAGGTTTTTTGCCTCATCAAATTTCAAAGTATTCTTGGATTTATTGAATGACTTTCACCAACCTAATTTATCACAATTGTTACATAACAAATTTTAATAATTTTCTAGTTCTAATTCACTTCTGTTTCCGCAGACTTTTATATATTCTCGCTCATTCGTTTAATAGTCTTATCTATATTAAAACTCACTGATAACTTGTCATTTCAAGTGATTTAATTGTGCAATATAATGTTATCTTTCAATTCGGTCAATACATTTGATTAGTTGGATTACGAGTGTAAACAGCCACAAAAAGCTGCAGAATATAATGAATTCTAAATAGTGTATTTCATTTGTTCTTTTATGATGTCCAATTTTTTCTAGTCTAGTGATAACCAGTACTGAATTAAGTTGAGCCTGATATATGTACAGAAAATAAGATCTTAACATAAACAGTATAAAAATTAGAATAATGGCCAAAGCAGATGTTAAACTCAACCAAACTGATAAACACTTTTGATATACGGGAATTTGTGGAGTTTTAATAGTTTGAATCAAAAAATGATATTAGCCAGACCGCGATTAAAAACCTGAAACCAATGGATTGTCGTTTCGTTGCAGTGCCCATTCACGACCCCACTACAGCGAACCGAACCTAGATCGCGCGTGAACAACTAAGCTTTACACCATTAACCTAGCATCCGATGGTGTATATGTCTAACTCCAATCAGTTAAGGATACTGCTTAACCTTCATCCGTTGCTTGAAGTGGATAACTGACCAACAACCAACACGGTTGAACTTCACTTCTGGATGCCGGCCTGGTGGTCTAGAGGTTAAGCACTCACGCAGAAGACCGAAAGATCTAAGTTCAATTCACTATGGTTGATTCGTGGATGGGCACTCAAGAGCTTTTAATATAATCCAGTGTTTTTAATTATGGTCTGGCCAACATTAGTTTTGAAACAGATTCTAACAAACTGATAATGAGTTATTTCGATTAGATTTTTGAATATTTCAAATTTTGTAGCGACATTCAACAAGAGGTTTGGTTAGCACTCACAGATAATCAAGTTAAACATGATTTTGTATTCAAAAAATACTGAGCAATATATTACTACGACCAACATTTGCTTTCAGTGTAAGAAAGAAAATTATGTAAACTTACGCTAATTGAGATGGAAATGAATTACGATGAGTATCATCCAAACGGTAACAACGATCACTGCTGTACAAATGATTTCGTGTATTGAACGGAATGGAATTTGATTTGGGCTTATCAGAAATACTTGTTATGGATAACAAACGAACAGAATCGTTTGAATGATAAAGTACCTAGAAGTCATTTTAAGAACAGAATATTGTGAAGTGTTTTTACAACTAAATGAAAACAGATTAATATTACAATAGAGTTAAAGAGAAGCTTCAAACATAGAATTGGCTAGTATGTCACAAGGAGCTGTTATTTACCCACTTTTTTATTATTTTTTTTCGTGATCTATTATCTTCAATAGAAAACACTTTTGTTAAAGATGCGGACGATCTCACTGTATGTACAACGATTCTTACCTAGTTACATACCTTCGAAATGAATGAGTTCTTGTCTCTTATTGAATTGTGGTCTATTGTTAATGGTCTCACACCTAGTCCATCTATATGTCAAACTGTTAACTTTAGCCTGACATATGAACAGCACCTAAACACCCTGTTAGAACCCCATAAAGATGGTACTACTGAAAATTCTTCAATAAAAATGTTCTCAAAGGTCATTTATCTTGGTGTAATTTTTTCCTCTGATCTCTCTTGGTCTTCCATGCTTGGTTGATATTGAAGAAATTTTTCTGTCTGACTTACTGTATAAAGAGACTTCATGCTTTTTCCCCTACATAACACTAACTTTTACGACTTATTAATTCTTGCATATCACCTATAATTCTTTACTGTCCTCCATTATTTTTCCCCACGATTGTGAAAAAAGACTTTGCTGTATTGAGGAGTGCTGAAGGCAGTTAGCAAGATGTGCGGTGAATCTTTTAAGGCCATTATTAATATGGTTGTGGATAAACATCTAAAATCTTATAACCTTATGGAAGATGTAGTCTTATCAGGTACTAACCATTCACTTCATTTATATCTTTCTCCTTGTATATCTTCTGGTAGAACGAAAGTCCAATACATCAGAATACCTCATCTAGAAAATATACCATGTGGCAAACAGGTTGTTAGAGCTGACCTAGTCAACAGCTTGTATTCTTAAACACGTTTCTAATCAAAAGGTTGTACAGATTCAAATCTTAAAAAACGTTTCATTTAATTCTAGGTAGTTTATCTACTTAGCTTATGTATATATGTATGGAGTTAGCAGTTTCTTTCACCTTTTTTCTCTATTGTAAAAGGAACTTGTTGAAATACCTTGTGCTGTGAATGCTATATTATACCTAAAATATATTATTGAATAAAGCCACTAATAATAATGATAATAATTCAAAATATATTCCATTTTTAACTAAGTGGATGTAGAATCTAACAAAAACCGATGTAAGGGAAATACGAAATTTCCTCTATCAAAATACTAGATCTTTAATGTATATGAAATATAATGATGCTATGTATAAGTTACGAAGTATGGGTTATAAAGCACTTGAAAGCCAGAATTTCAACTAACCAATATGACTGAGAAGTTTTTTGCGCCCACCTACCTTAGCATGACGGATGAGTGGCTTAGATTGAAGTCAAACAATGATTAACCAGTGTCAGTGATTAATATTGTTGCATCGTATAAAGAAATGAGGGTTTCGAAGTACAGATCATCTAGATTTCCTTAATCAATGGTTGAGAACATTTAAGATGATAAAACTGTAAATCAGTTAAAATGGCTTACAAATAGCCCGAGGGGAACATAGTCTCACGAAAAATTCAGTAATCATCTCGGATACAAAATTCAATCTTATAATCAAGGACCTCTCACTTAGCTTAATTAATAAATTCAAATCTATTCATCTTCTATGAATGATACACTTTCAAGAAATATTGAATTGACAATACATTTAGCCTAAAATATTATTACATGCTTAGTATTTTGCGAGATAGTGACCTGTTCCATTTCATTTACATAAAGATGGCTCTTTTCTGACTTAATCTTAGAACTTATAACTATTAATATATTGTTTACATGAACCTAGGGCTTTCCGTTAATATTTTTTCCTAATTATAATTATCATTACAAAATAGTGGTACATAATTTTAGACCAAAGTTTGCTCTCAATAACTTCAACTAAAAACACACATGGTGAACAATCTACAACACTAAAGAATCATTTTATTCTTCTGAAAAATTACTTTCATGTTTAATTAAACCAAACTGAATCATTGTTGTTAGTAGTTATTTTTTGTCAAGAAAAAGAGATTTTTAATTTCAATAAAACATTTACCTAAATGAAGTTTGCTTCACTGCAAGGTTTAAACCTGGGGTATCAGGATCAATGATATTAAAATGTCACTCGATGAGAATTATGAATATTATCGAAAAGTTGTTTTGAATTGTAGAAGAACCTAGTAAAATACCCAGCCTTCCCTTCTTAAAATCACTAGCACTTACATCTAGATTATTTTGGGCAATTAAAATAACAGGTATATGGGTATGTGATAAAGAAACATTTGGATGGTTATTTTTTCAGCATTGAAATATGTGTCATAGGTAATAAGGTTTCAAAAATAGATTTCAACATGAGAAAAAAACTTATTAATGGTGATTCTCAATTTTTGTAACGATGAAACCTAAACAAGATATATGTTCATCCTTAATATTTAAATGAACACAAAATTTAGATAAAAGGATTGAAAATGTAACTTGACAGTTGGCTGACCTAACAAATTAGTAATATATTTCAGTTGACTTGAATGATTCGACTTGCAGTGATCTGTAAAACCTACTGATATGCAATACGATAAAGGTTATAAAACTCAGTACTGATTTTATTTCAGTTAATTTATCTCACGTACCTTGATCATACCACTCTCAACAAGGTATTTTTAATAAAACGTATATTTATATAACATGATAAGTACCAGTTTTCATAGTAAAATTTAAAAACAACTGTTTTTAGATTTAAAATCAACTTACTGAGGCATTAACTAAGTTATTTTCTTTAAATTTAGACATAAATGAATGACAAAACAGTCCACATTGTTTATCACGTTTTGATTTTTTGGGATTAAGTTCAAGACTACCAGACTCACAAAATATATAAGAAAGCCGATTGTTTTTTTCGGTATCACAGCCGATGGATTTACGTCTACGATATTCTTCAAGTTTTTGTTCCATTTTAGATGACTCAAGAAAATTTACTGGGGAAAGGAGATTATCAATGGCCAACTCTTCCATTCCCATCCTTTGAAAGATTCGAGAAGATTTCATTGACTAGCGGTAATGGATCAAAATAATAATATTTACTGATAAAAAGTTAAAAACAATGTTTAATGAAAGCTACTTTTAAACTGCACAAAAGTGCTCTATACTGTGTCGTCAGTTAAATATAAAATCACATTGAACTACCAACAACAACAGTCAAATAGCCTATGGACAGTGATGATTTGAATAGATTATCTGTTGTTGAAATTTTTCCATATAGCCATGCCTATAGTTATTTAGCCAAAGCCAAACAAAGACTGATAAAGCTCAATAAATCGCTCCAGAATTAAAACAAGAAGAAAACCATTTAGTGTAAAATTGGTTTTATTCTTTTATTAAATTTTACTAAGCTTCATTTCTATCAGAACCATAAAGCATAACATTTGAATACGTAAAACAACAATGAAATTGTTATTTGTTAATTTGAATCAGAACACATTTTTAAAGAATGATTTTTCACACAAGCTTTCAATCCATCTATTCTATGAGTTTAGTCAATAGCATGGTTTAAATTAATATAAAAATTATATAACTTTTCTTAAATTATTGCTTTATTTATAACAAGGGGTCTTAAATTTGTATATATTGATAGTGATATAATTTAATAACCGAATACATGTTTATACATGATGCTTTAAGATATATTAATTAGGAAAGGAATCGAGTAATTGATTTTTTGGTTGGAGTTTAAGTAGATGGGCTTAAATTCTAGCTTATAACCCTTGGCTTTAATATTAAGTCATTATATGGCCGAAACTGAAGGTGTTTTATCGTGAAAGTAATTTAATCTCATAAATATATATAATACATATTACCTGGCCTTCACCTAATTCAATTCGTTAATAATCTAACATGAAAGTATAGTAAACTTCCGTAAAGATGCAAAGCGCTTTTATTGACTCATTATCCGGTGAAAAAATTACTTTTTTGATGGTCTTCAACTACCAATATAAAACTGGGCTTTAGTACTCTTTTCGCATATTTCATACTATAATGAACATTCAAGGTGCAAATATTTCCGTTGTTCATATTGAAAAATAAACACATGTTGCAAGAACTCAAGCTAGTTAACTATGATTACTTTATTGACCCTTCATATTATGAATTGGCAGACATAGACGATAAACTCAGCCGAAAATTATTCTTAGTTAAATTCGAAAACACGTAAAGTTTGTATCAAGAATAACGCACAACGTAATCCTCTATGGTCTGACGTCATATACTCAATAACCAAATCGAGGTTAACAGCTTTAATTATTACTTAAGCGCTTATGAAAACAACAGCTGACAGAAACTGACTAAAATCAAGCCTATTTGTTATGATACCGACGCATACAAACCACAGTATCACACAGCTTTTATAATGGAAAAAATTATTAGTCATGTTTGCAGAGTATTCGTATTATTTATTAGAATACGTAACAGACACTTTAATAGTAGTAAGAGGAATAGTGACTGATATCTTGGTAAAACTAATACCACATATAATTATCTACGTGCATTGGTACGAGCGATACATCCTGACGTTTGACAGCTAATTGATGTTAACGCAGATGAAGATGAAGGGGTTGTCCATTTAGTTCGATATACTGTTTCTCACAATCAGAGCACTTTGTTTTGTAGATAACATTCGGCTTTTTTTTCTTATGTCATTGTATACGATTGATTAGAGTCATTTTGCCGGTTTATGTTGTTTGTGTATGCTTTTGATTAGCTTTTTGTCTAACTCAATATGTTAATTACGTCACCCCACAAAATGTGTGGTGATTTGTTAGGTAATAATCCGGTTCCTAAAAACTAAGTTATGACAGTTTTTATGGTATGTTGTATACTGTAACTAACTTAAACGTGTGAGGTAATATGCAATACGTTCACCATATTCTGTTCAGCATGTTGTTCTCTTCATATGAAAATTTATATGAAACTCTATTAACTGAAGAATTCTCACCTCTTCGACTATACGTTTCTGTTCCAGCCATTGTTCAAACTGAATAAAATCTGAAGCACGCATTGGCCACTTCGCACTACTTTCCTTACGAAGGCTTTTTCGTGCTGTTTTAACAGCTCTAAAAAATAAATAGGTTTTGAAAATGTCCAAGTATAAAGCAATACATAAATCTGTTAGTTCAATGACCTAAATAACCACAAAGAAATGGAACATCCTAAAAAGAATTATACCCAAATGAAGTAAGTAATAACATATATATTCAACTAGATGAATAAATTTAAAGTGTGGAAGTACTTTGGGTTGTGTTAAATTTTAACAAATCGGATATTTCATTTGAGTCATCATAAGTAGGCTAATATGTTTCTTTTGTTTAAAAAAATTCACTATTGAAAGTTGGGAAAGATTTGTTTTGCATTTATGTAAATTTTATGTGCATTTATATCAAAACTGTATAACTAAAAAACCACACCAAATAAATATATTGAATTCGAGAATACTCTGGTTACATAATTGTGATTACTAAGAATATGACAAAGTAAAAATAGCGCTCCAAGGAATGTATGGAACACTTACTGAATGGCTGTCTCCAAACTAGATATCCAATCTTCAGCTTCAGTTAAATTTCCATTCACGATAGTAAAGTTAGCGTCACGACAGTGCACCTAGAAGACAAAAATATTCACATATTAATAATAACTGATCTCAATGTAAAAATATAACAGCTGTGATAGAATATTTAATTTCTATATAATATGCTTGAAATTTTTGCAAAACAAAAAACATAGTTGAATGAAGTCAATTCATTTCATTTGATGAGCTCTAAATCCCCCACTGACTTTTATAAATACATAAGATGTTTCACAAACGTAATTTCCTATACAATATGCATAAAGTCATTCAGTTCACTAATAAAAATAATCATTAATTTCTATGTTGATATCATATCCAAAAATTATTATTACTTTCACCATTAATATGACTACTTTACTAAAGTTTATTGGTAAATAATATCAATTTTGTGATCTTGTCAACTGTGATCGTAGCACCTTGAACATGTTTCTTGTACTTGACTACGTCATGTTTTTTTTCGCTCCTATTTCATTCTTCTTTAAAGTGAACTTAGAAATATAGCTTATAATAATAATTTTTCGCTCGTGAACTTGATAATCTTAGGCATATTACACACTAAGCTATATTTGCAAAAAATTTAATGTATAAGTACAATTTGGTGTCTGTGTGGAAGGTTTAGAGTACAACAGATGAAATGAATTCATTTCAACCTAAAACCCTAGTGCTTTCTGTGTCTTTTCACAAATATTTATAATAAGTATGAACCAAATCTAACTAAACAGCCGATTCATTTCCTTACAAATGTATACGAAGGTTTCCTTTGATACTGGGTATTCTCGGTAACAAAATCGTATAATCATTAAACCACTGGGAACATATGAATCGATTTATTTTATCGACATTACTTATTTAAAGATGATGCTCCTCGGGTATTGAAGGCAACAACGCTAGACACAATAAATAAGTAATTAAATATGACATTAAATTATGGGTGCTATAACTCTTCTGTAGAATTAATGAAAACTGAATAGTACTTTGATTTACAAACGAAACAACTGAAAATGTGGATTACTTTAGAACAGTAATAAATTTTCTATTCGACAAAATCATTTACTTAGGCTGTACATTCGTATTGAAAAGCATGCAGTAAACTGCCTTTAAAAATATAGGATATGAGGTTTACAACTATGCAGCAATATAGAAACGGCTAACTAATTAAAATAGATGCATAAGACAATTAGAATTGTCGGAGACAGTGTGCTTGCTGAATACTTATCTTATATGAACTGGAACCATGACCTTTTGAAGAATAAGTTCAATCGAAAGAATTAACCGTGAATGTGTTGTAGAAGGATATTAACACAATATAAGGTCAGTCAGTCAGTCAGCTACAACGTAGGACCAGGCACATATGTGCATCGGTCCAGGTTGCCATACCGCATCAACACAACAAGATGAACACCGGATTCATAAAAGTAGTTAATTCAGAGGTGGTGATATATAGAAAAAAATTGCATATAGGGATATAGTACAGGAAGAAAGAGTTAGTTCATATAAAGAAAGATATGAAGCGATTTTAATCTCTTAGTTTAAGGGAAGACAGGGAGTGTATACACCGACGCCATTGTGATCGATTCTGAGCCATGTCACCAAGAGTCTCCAACCATTGGTTACCATAGTCACGCGGACCCCAACCAAGTAGTCTGCATCTACCAACATGGCTCAGACTAGAAGTTAGTGACTTCAAGCACTGATGCCACGTTTTGGTTTGGCCGCCCCTAACTTTCTTCCAACCATTTCCAACACCGGATAGCATTGCACGTCGTGGTAATCGGTGTTCAGGCATACGTAACACGTAGCCCAACCATCTCAGTCGATGAAGATTCGTAACCTCATCAACTGATTTACCATCCTTTCCTAATACCCTGCGTCTAACCTCACTATTACTTACCCGGTTATCCCAGCAGACGCCAGCAATATTTCTAAGGCATCTGTGGTCAAATACTAGTAGCTTACGAGTGTCTTCTACTCTTAGTGGCCATGTTTCGCTGCCGTAAATTAAAACAGAACGGACTGCCGTGCAGTATACTCGTCCTTTTATTGATAGACGGATATCTCGCCTTCGCCACAGGTGACGTAAGTTGGCAAAAGTCAGACGAGCTTTTCGAATCCGTGCTGAGATTTCGTCCGATACCAACCCATTAGGGCTGATCAGACTTCCAAGATAAGTGAAGTTGTCAACGCGTTCGACTACTTCACTCCCTATCCTTAGTTCAGGTGTTAACGCAGACCAGTCCTGAAGCAACAACTTGCATTTAGAGGGAAAGAAACGCATTCCAAACATCCTGGCATTGTTGCTCAGTGCTACCAGAAGACTCTGCATTTTGTCAGCGTCTTCAACAAACAGGACTATGTCATCTGCGTATTCTAAGTCGATAAGTGGACCTCCTGGAAGGAGATCAATACCCGAGAACTCAGTCGACGAGAAAGTTATTTCCATCAGTAGATCTATGATGAAGTTAAACAAAAATGGAGAAAGTGGACAGCCTTGACGGACACCACTTGAGGTTGCAAAACTAGATGACAGTTCACCATAAGCTCTCACTCGACTAGTAGTGTTCGAGTAAAGAGCCTTTACAAGGTTTATGTACTTCTGGGGTACGCCTTTCAATGACAGACACTGCCACAAAATCTCGCGGTCTACAGAGTCAAATGCTGCTTTTAAGTCAAGAAAGACCACCATCGTCGGACGCCGATAAGTATGCCTGTGTTCTAGAACCTGACGAATGGTGAATATGTGGTCGATGCAGCCACGACCAGGTCTCAAGCCAGCTTGATTCTCTCGTGTTTGCAGTTCACGAGTCTTAGTTAGGCGTCTGATTATTATTGAGGCTAGTATCTTAGATATTATATTAGTTAAACTAATCCCTCTGTGGTTGTCACAGGATGATTTTGACCCTTTCTTATATATTGGGACGATAAGTGATTGTGACCAGTCAGATGGAATAACGTCTAACTCCCAGATCTTAGCTAAAATATTAGTCAACCTAACCGCTAAAATTGGACCACTATCCTTAAAGACTTCTGGAGCCAGTCCATCTGGACCAGCAGCCCTTCCTCGTTTCAGATTATCTATAGCCTTTTGAACTTCAGCAAGAGATTTGGGACCTACTTCAATGTTCCATTCACGCTGTCTGGGAATGGAGGGTAGTTGTAGAGTAGCTGAAGGCCAGCTGAACTGTTCCCTAAAGTGTTCCGCCCATCGTTCTAAACGCCTGGACTGGGAGCAGATGAGTGTATCGTTTTTTTCCGATATAATCTCACTTACACTTGACTTATTAGTTCCAGTTTCTTTTATTAGTCTGTAAAGCTGTCTTGTGTTCCCTATAGTCGCCGCCTTTTCCATCTCTTTTGCTTTCGTTGCCCACCACTGCTCACGGTCGTTTCTTAGACTTTTTCTTAACCTAGATCTGATTTGTTGTCGCTCTTCAACGTGTTCAGAGTCTGATGGGACGAGTTTGCGAGAATCCATCAGTGCAATAAACCTTGACGAAATCGATTGGTTCTTTGTAACCCTGTGGTTTAAATCACTGATAAATATCACTGCTGTCTGTATAGCTTTCCAAGCAACATCTGGGTCAACCTCGTTTTCAGAACTACCTAATACTGACCTTAGTTGTTGCTGGAACCTACTTTTGGTTTTCTCGCTACTCAATTCAGTTCTAATGGGTCTTTTTACTGAGGCTTTTTTGCGTCCGGTGAGGCGCAAGCAGATGCGTGCCCGTATTAGGGCGTGGTCGGAGTCCAAGCAAGTACTCCAGAATGAGCAACAATCCTCTACCGACCCTCTCCAACGATGACTGGTGGCAATATGGTCTATTTGAGTCCATCGTTGGTTTGGTGTAGGGGGTCGCCATGTTAGACGATGTCTCTCCTTATGCTTAAAATTTGTGTTTGCTAAAAATAAGCGATTGTCTGAGCACAGTTGCAGCAGACGATCACCATTATCTGTTCGTTGTGCCGGAATGCTAAAATATCCACCTAAATGCCTTTCTGTTTGGTTTAAGCTACCTATCTGAGCATTAAAGTCACCCCCTACGAGTACTATGTCTGAGCGTTTAGCTTTCTGAAGAAGTTCAGAAAGCTTTCTGTAAAATTCATCCTTCACTTCATCTGAGCTGCAGTCAGTGGGAGCGTAGGCAGAAACGACAAAAAGGCAACGACGTGTGTCCCTATCCTTCCGAGTTCTTACGGAGCCGTTTAGCCGAACAGCACATAGACGACTGTTGATGGGGATCCACTCTAGCAGTGCTTGTTCCGCCCTCATGTTTAGTGCTATGCCTACACCTGCCAGTCCACGAGAACTGGCCATCGGGTCACCAGATACACGTAGGGTGTATCTCGTTGGCTCTCCGTTTTGCCGAGGTGAGGTCAAGTGAATGATCACACTGGAATCCTGTATGCGTGTTTCGGAGACACAGCATACATCGATGGAAAGAGATTCTAGGGTTTTAGCTAAGGAAGCCTGCTGACCGATTTGACATAGAGTGCGTATGTTGAAAGCTCCAATGTGTAGTTTGGAGCGAGGTTTCAGTAGACCTGGGACAGAGTTTTGAGCACTAGAATCGTTAGCTATGGTGACGCTTGAGGAAGAAGCTGAAGGAGGAAGTTTAGGGTTGAAAGTCGATGTAGGAGGAATAATAGGAATTGAAGAGGAAGGTTGATTATGAATACAGTGGTCTTGGGTGCTGTTAGAGGTATGAGGGCGGTTATCACTTCCCGGTTGCCCACACCGTGGAAGGGTTCTTCTGGAGGTACCTGAAAAGGAAATTGGATTAGAGGCGGTCTCAGCGACCTGGGAGCGTGACCGCAGAGCCCAAGGGACAACTGCTTGAGGCCGGTCGCGCACGGCCTTCTTGTGGAAGGTTTTTGACGTGTTAGCTCCGTTCTTCAAAGAGCCTTACCGCCGGAGACGGAAATCCGTGAGGTAAGGCGAGGTGTGCATTTTTAGGGTCGACCTTTTCTAACCCCACCCCTCCTTGTGGGAAGGCAGCATCGCTGTCATGCTGGTTGTCTGAAGGAAACACCTTACTGCTGTCACACCTCTGTACAGTCAGCAGTACGACTTCGCCTTCGGACCTTAGGTTTGTTGCTTTTAGTCTTACCGCTCTTCAACCGACCTGTCTGACATGGTAGGACCTTGAGGAACGGTTGTTCCAGCCAGTATAGCTCGGTTGCTTCATCACGATAGGCAAGCCCGACCACCACGTCAAGGTAGCAACAACGGTCAGGTCAATATAAGGCTAAGTATAAAAATCATTTATTTATGATATCCCTAAACATTTTAATTACTGTTACCAATAGTTTGGTGATAAAAACAGTTCGATTATTGGCAGTTTATAAAAATTAGTACAAACTGGAAGATGGATTCTAGTCTACCCTATTGAAGTACAATTTCTGGATGAAGATCAGTGATCTTCCTTGACAATAAAAAAGCAGATATATATCGATAAGATTTTTAGCCATTGATCGAACACACTTATAATGCCATCTTATTACCTAATTATATGCTAAATGTATATTACATGATTACCATGCACAAAAATAAAAAAGTTATTTATTTGATAATTAAGACATACAGTGAAACTGTATTCATTCAAAGGTTCAGGGTGTCTCATTGTGTAGTCATCTTCATTGAAAGTAATAAATGAATCCGATTTCAGTCTTGTTGATGTTGATGTTGATCCACATGCATATTCATCGAACGCCAATGGTGTTGATGCAGTATGACCTAAAAAGAAAACCAAATACAATATCACTATCTTTGACTCATTGGTTAGTTCAATCTTAATACGTTTTAATAAGCTGGTTATTGCATAGTTTAGTTTTTAATTGGCTTATGAACCTATTTTTGGTCACCAGCTACCATGGGACTGCATCTCTCTACGTTGTTCTGATGCCTTGTGGATAAGACCTTCAGATCAAAGGCTCCGGGTGTGGCCCCCTAAGAAAAGCACCTGCTTCTGTTTGGGCACCCGGGCAGTATCATGGCCCTCACACATATCAGTGATAACTACTACTGGCCATATTATTATGTGTGTGCCCCCTTGTACCAATGTTTACATGTTCAAACAAATAATGAACAAGAAAAGCTGTCGGGAGGTGTAACTTGTATGGAAATGACGTACATTCAGGTCAAGTATTAGTAGTATGAATGGAGATAAAAAACATTTAGACGATAAACTTAAAACCACCTTCCGAAAAAAACTCTGAAAGCTAAAACATTTTATTACTTATAAACTGAACATTTTCTTTATCATAATTCTAATGACTACGCATTTTTTACTTAAAAAAACACAATCGTTCTAAAGCAAATTAAATAGATATTATCTAATAAACGAGTGCTATCGAATTCATATTGGCTTAGCTAGTGAAAACGAAAACGGTCGAACGTAGTTTATACCCGAATTCGGAAAATTCTTTTCTCTTATTGTAATCTAAGCATCAAATGACAGAAATGAAAATAAAATCGTATGGTATATAAAATAATATAATAATGATATGAAAGTGAAGTTTACTATGCAATAAGCAAAATATAATAAATATATTAAAATCGTTTTGCATTCACACTTGTTTGTTCCGATTTGACACTACAATTACATTTAACAATTTGTTTTGTAAAAGCAAATAAACTGATGACAGATAAATTCGTATGCTTAAGAAAACTGTTAAAAAACTGAATAATTCAGATTTTTTTAATGATAAAGTTTGATGACAATATACAACGCTACGCAAATAAACAAATCAGGCAACAAGTATTGTAATTAACAGAGAATAATACTCACGACTAAATCCTCCGATAGAAATTGGTGAAATAAACACTGAGTTGTTTTGCTTTGGTTGGCATTCAGGAGACTCAGGAATAGGTTGCAGAAACGTATTATGTGGTTTAAAATGAATTTGAACATGACAGTGATGAAGAGGATAGACAGCAACACATGAAAAACAAACTTTACTATCTGTTAAAAAATCAGTTGAATCGTTAAAAGTTTGAGATTTAGAACTTTGTGAGACTGATTTAGAAAATTTAGAAACGTGAATCAATGAGTTTGTGTCATTCGACCTTCGAATATGTTTTGTAAACCCTAAAGACATTTTTCTTCCGTAAAATTGTGTAAAAGGATTAGGATATTTTCGACTATAAACACACTTTTTCTTGCTGAAAATGAATTCCAACTCCGTCTGGGTTCGCGGTTTAGCACATATCAGTATATCAGACATAATCACTAGTAAACGAGTTTCCGCAACTCCATCAAGAGAATTCACCTGCAATGAAAAAAGCTATGATCATATATTTAACAAAGTAAATAAGTTGAGTTATCGACATAGAAAAGGATTGAATTGAAAGATGAATTACATGTTTAAATTTTCTGCAAAAATTTCCAAAAACATAAATCAAGAATGATACATATGAAGTTGTACTCAGCTTAAACGCTCAATACTCATAGGTAAAGCCTAAACCCACTTTCGTTTTAAAATGTTAATGAAGAGTGATAACAATCCAGAAACTAAGATTTCGAAATATGTAGAAAGTCAAAGATTCCTGCTTAGATGGTATAAAATTAACAAAACGACTACGTGATTTCAAGAACCTAACACCATAGAAGTTTAAAATGCTTACCTTTTTCACCAATCCATACTTCAATAGTCTACGCCCAGGTACTAGAATGAGGTTTTGCGACCATTTGCCAAAAAGTCTTGATTGTAATAAAGCGGCCTTAGTAGCTTGTTCACTGATTCTAATCTGTTCATTTAAAAATGTTGCTGTCGCTACCACACTAGCAAAACCTGCAATAAGAATAATTGTGGAAGCACACATTCTATGAATATAACGTTTCAGATCTGAAAAACTTGAATCATGAGATTCTGGAGAGTAATGCACTTGATGATGATTATCCCATAGTTTTAAAATAAGAGTGGCTGCATATTCTGGTATCATAAAATGTTGACGAGCAGCTTCGTTAATACTAATGGCACATTTATTTGCTTCAGGATCACTTAAACCGTCCAGTTGAAGGCAAATGATAACAAGTTCTTGGAGTATTAAAGAATACCTACAAAAAATAGAAGTTCGTTAAATTTCCAAGTACATCAATCAACATTGCGGAAACATAAAATTAATTTCACTGAAGACATACTCCTTCTATTCAATGGCACGTAGAAAATAACTAATAACCTATCTGTGAGACCATACACATGTTTGTGTACTAAGAACTAAACCACACAAATCGTGGTACAGGCAAAAATATTAAACGTATACATAAGCGTGAAATTTGAACCACAGACCACAGGAAACATAAGTTGCGAGCGGAGCAACAATACGATAATATTATATTTTTGACAATTTGATTCTGACACAAAAGTGTAGCGGTAGTTTGCTGACACGTTTGGTCAGGTATGTAGGTTTTAGCCTTCAAGGGTATCAAAAGGTGTATGTCGTGTCGCATTCCAGGAAACATAAATTATCTAGAACTATTTCTAATAGTTCTTTCAAATGACATCAATGTCCATAAAATCGTTCTTTTAAGAAAATTAATGCGATCAGGCAAGGCATTATTATATGTGAAAAGTTATACTTAACAGACATGGTTCTACAGATATCAATTATCATACATAATAAAACCACAGATTTATCAATACAGAAACATACCGAGGAATGCGCTGTATGGGCATTATAAGGAGTGCTGAAAGCTGTAAATTAACATCTGGTAAGCTTTCTTGTTTATTTATAAACTCCATTAGTCCTGGTATGAATGCATTACAAGTCTAAAAGACCAAAAATAACACTTAATTTAACATGTACGGATACCACAAATCAAGCGAAATTCTAAACCACATAAAAATAACTTTTTCCTGCTAACCCAAAAGCACTCACTTGTATTCCGTGAAATGATTGTTTGTATATGTTACAAAATAATTTAAATAGCAAATGAGTTCTTTTAAGAACTATGATTAGTTCCAAAGTGTCAAACAAACAACTTTTACACTAATAAAATCTTAATAAAGGATTAGTTCATCTTACCTATTGACTTTTCATTGTTGATTTATAATTACGCTTGTTAATGTGTGATTTTATGGATCCTCATATTCAGATCAGCACGTTTTAAAAGAAACGTACACTTCAGCTATCTTCATTCTTTGAGGAAAAATTTCAAACTAAGGGTATTTTTTCTTGTTTATTTTTATAATGTGAAGTTTTCTCTATTATATTATAGCTAAAATTCAGGATTTACTACAATATGCGGAATATGGAAAGGAACTTATATGAACCTATGTTGTTCGTATTACAGAAACAATGCATTACGTAGTTGACAAAAGATGTTCTTGAGAGATCATATGGAGTTGGGAATCTACCTGACCACTGCAAGTAACAAATTCGATAATGAGCGACTTAAATAATGAACGTAAGAAGAGAAAGAAAGCGTACTTAGTTTGTTCAAAGCTTAGAAAATTGGATTCCCAATAAATCTATGTCAGAATGTTCATACTTTTTCGAGTGTTTATCCTTATCTAACTATTTAGAAGTATAATCTCCTGGTTTCGAATTTTGTGATGGTCGTAGTACTGTTTACAAGTTCAGGTCTAAAACATCTATTCACAAACAAGAGGCCTAATACTTTTTATTTACGGGGATGTAGAAGGACTTAACTCCAGTCTAGTAGATTGTTGCTATTATTATCTAAACTACAGGCACAGAATAGAAAGGATGTTGACTAAAAGACACAAAAAATCTCTACTTAAACTGAAGAAAAGATAAGTACAATATCCTCGGATAATGACCTAGCAGAAGAGACTATGACAATTGACTTAATCACTAAATATCCCAGGACAAACAGGTGCAATCTCTCAGGATTTTTATGTAACACTCAAACCCAGCGGTACCATGTCACTAAGGCATTATATCTATCCAAAAGTATATAAATCTGAATTACCGCTATGGCAGAAAGATGTATAGCAGAACCTCTAAAGGTAGTGCATAGAGACGTCTCACAGCACGTCGTAAAAGATAGTCTTAGACCTATTGATAAAACAAGAAATTCGGAGATGAATAATAGATTTATGATATGAATGGATGTTTCACGAACGTGTCTTTAACGGAAATAGATGATTTCATATATAGTGAGCCTCAAAATCAGATAGTGGAAATCAGTATCTCCTCCTTTTCCTTGCAAGATTACAGAAGGGGAACGAAGTAATTATGCATCACGGAATACGGAAACAAAATTGTGCAAAGATAGAGGGAAGGTGATCACAATAAATAGACAACAAAATAAAAATAAGTGAACAAAAGCAAAAAATAATAGAAGTTTAGTTCAGAGAAATATAACCAGTTGTTTCAGTTAAATAAGTCCCTCTCAAGTTTAATAACTAAAAGAAAACCATGAAAGGACCGCCACCGGCATTAATTAGGAGCCATGTCTAGTGACGTTTTAATTCACCGTGTAGTACTATCTCTAGGACCTAACCAGATAGTCGTGGAGGACCGACATAAATTTCCAACTTACTCAAATCTTATTCCTGCATAACGAATTTTTGTAATTAACTGATTACACAACCTTTTCTGTAGATTTGATGTCACATTCGTTGAGATTATGACTACCGTTTTAGAGGAGACATTGTTAAACTGATCATCCACCAATTGTTTGCAATTGATTTCATTCTTAACTGCAAAACCTATGTATTAGTATAGAGCGTTGATGAAGAACTAGTGGAAAGAAGGCATTTCTTTGCCCAACTTGTTTTTCAATATCCTGATAGAAATATCTCAAATACAATGATTATTGTCAGGTTGCATTTTAGCTCGAAACTTTCAGTCTATAAAATACCACAGCGGAGGCCACAAAGACTCTGTTTTACAAAGCTTAGAGTATATCAATCTTAATCTTTTAAAGTACTCTCCATTTCTGTCATTGCACTAGTCTCGGCATTGATTCCTTTGTACACAACATTCATGGAATGTTGTGCAAGTCAGGCCTTTTTACTGCCTGATTGTTTCATTTCTTTGCACGATCTCGCACAGACGAGTTTTCTAAACTCAGGTCACTAGAAACTATGCCAACAGGGAGTCAACGATTACACAGTAAAAGAGATCGGTGAACGTTCAGTGTTTTCATCAATACAGGTACAGGGTCATCCTAACCTTGTATCAACCATGTAGTCTTCACAGCTTACACTGACAAACTATAATGCCTTTTTCGGAAAGCTAGATCTTTATAATCTCCCCAAACTTTCCACAAAATTAGTTTTTCTAATGCTCCAAAGAAAATCTTAGTGCCTCAGTTTGCTTATATATTAAACAAACCATGTATTTCAGACGTAAGATTTCAGTTGTGTAGCTCTTTATGCCAATAGTGAAACAGTGCATTTAGTGGAGTTACTTTTAGTATGCTATATTTTGGTTAACTATGTACTGCAGTAGCAAAAGAGATAGGCCAGGGACAAACGAAAAACTTAAGAAGTTAAGGGAAAATATAATGTTTTGCAAACTTTTAAGCAGAAGCAAATATTAACATCTAACCAGTTTGGAGCTTAGATGAATTTGTATTTCGATTCGGAATATTTAATCTTGTCATTAACAGTAACAGTACAGATAGAAACATAATAAAAATAAAACCACGCAAACTGAACAACTTGCCTCCATAAACACAACGTTTGTTTGGTAGCGGTTGGCATAATCTGCATATAATTTCAGACATGGAGAAATTTTCAGAAATGCTTTCTCTACTCCAACAGTCAAAACAGACTCAAGAAGGGTTTCATTGACACTTAAGATGGGCACGAGACGTCCAAAAATTTCAGAGTGTATATCTTCCGGCAAGTATCTGCGGTCAATTAAGGGCCTTGCAAAGTACTAAAAGATTAGACAAACGATATGAAGTTACCTTCAAAACCTTCCTGAGGTAACTTATGTATTTAATTTCGGAAGTCACGAGTTCGTGTATTAGGTCATCTTTTGATCGTAGAAGTTTGACTTCGGCATTTGAATTATTTGTGCGTAAAGAGAATGAATTTTTCATCGGGAGGACTTATAACAAAGGTAACAAACGTCTTTCAGAATGTTGACAAGGTTAACTTGAACTTTCTCATAATTCAGCTGGAATAGAAGTCAAATTTATGCGAAAGTGTAAAATGGAGGAACAGAAATAAAGCTATCATGTATGCAAAAAGCATCAGTAAAAGACTTCAGATATATCCACGACACCATTTGTAGATTAATCACTACTAATATATAACCAAAACAATTAAGCGTACGCAAGAAGCATGATGAATGTATGTCAATTTCCTCAATATATTAAGAATATTGTCAAACGTTGCCTAAAGTTGATTGCTTAGTTAAGCCTCATGCCTTTTTGGGACATCGGTGGCTGACCAAAAATCTTCGAAAATCTCTACTTTAGGCTCTCCTTTCCAGCTACTAAAAAGTGACATCTACGGTGTTGAGGTCTCGACGGGATACCTAGTTAGTTGGATACACTGATGGTGTTCTCATGACTTTCTTGATCCATAGAAGGCGGTGAGGTAGGTAGGTTGTATCCTAGGTACAGCGACAATGATGTGCTATATACACTTCTCATTGTTATTGTTCCTAATGATAGTTTAGTATTAAGTAACTATAGCTCTCAGGTAAGGTAAATGTAGCGTCATGGGAACTCGAAAAATTATAGACCATATGGAAATGTAACATACTATATGAAACATAATTTTTTCATAGGACTAAAATGACAGATTGAATTAATATTGATGCTTGAAGTGGTAACTTCAACTATGGGGCCAAAGTATGCCACTATACGTAGTAGTCAGAATAAGACATACTCTTAGTCACGTTATTGATGGATTCTCTTGAACAGATTCCTTGCGACTTGGTCTTCATGATTTTAAAAAGCGGTAATTATAGTTATTCGGTAAATTAAGCCACAAATAATATCGTTTTATACCATATTAAGGTTTGATGGTGTAGTAATGTACAAACATACGCAAATGCGTTACTATTTAAACACCCGAAATGGAAAAATGTAAGAAAATTATCAATTGTGCTCATACTTCCATCCAATATGCTCTTCGATGCGTCATAGTATATGAAATCCAGTGTGTCTGATAATAACGCTAGTTTATGAATTGACGGGTCTTTCCCGTAACACTTGCATGGAATTTGTTCAGCTAAGCTTCTAATATGCGTTTCTGCAGAGCCAGTTGTGTTGAAGTTGTATTCTTTAAATCTTTGTTCCCATGGTACGTTGAAGTTTAGTCTACCGTTTATGATTTTCAAAATAATGCCATATGCTTTGACTCATCAATAAAATCAAAAATCCCTTAAACGTCAGTAAAAACGTTTCAAGAATATGTAAGAAGCCTAATATTCATTTTTAAACCTAAAGTACGGTCAAAAATATCTCAAAATTTACTACTTTCGTCTACTATTATGTTTTTATCAATCCATAATTTTTCAACGACAAAATCCTAACTAATTAATTTAGGGGACGCACTGCATATCAGTCAACACAAATGTAATATTTTGTTATGTTTATTTAACTTTGTGCTTTGAAATAAGTAATTTCTAAAGTATTTAGTCGAAACTTTGTCGCTGTTATATCCATCACTTTGCGAGTTATAACGGTAAAATTTAAAGTCTTGTTACCTAAAGTTCTACTTAAATACTATTGCGCACCCTTTTGTCCGCTTTGAGTTTTGTAATCCTAGTCCTTTTATTTGGTTTCCCACACCTTACATTAAAGCTCAATAAAACTGCTATACATTCGTGATGATTTTATTCTGTTTACGTCCACAGCCTTTTAAAATAATCAGTGTAAAGCACTATTATGGTGGGAATTTCAGTTTCACGACAAGGCGTAATCTATGTAGGGCATTCGATACTGATGTGTATGATTAATGTTACAAGTCATCTACATTACCTTTTTTTAGTACATGTTAACATTCTATGAACGAGTTACTGAACAAATGGATAGTGGATCTTATTGTTGTATTTTTATGGGCATTGCTCCAGTATGCATTAAGGATTGGAAGACAGTTGTTTGTGCGCATGGCTAAATATTTAGTCAGTTTGTAGTATTTCGAAGAATCCCATTTTCATGTACGCTAATTGCCATTTTTTTTAAAACAAGAAGGTAAGTCTAGATCAATGTTGTTTTTAAATTCAAAGAATATTAGTGAATTTCAGACCTCAATAAGAATTCGTTTATATTATAGATGAACATTCTTACATTTCAAATAACGCGGATAACAGCATTCACAGGTTTTCGGTCGTAATCACAGTTTAAATAAAAGGATTGCTCAAGTATAACCTGACAACAGCGGTAACTAATCCACGCACGAATACGGATTCAGAAATCAATGTGAGCGCTTCTAAACTTTAAAAAAAATTTGAACTTAAAACTGTCAGGTGTACTTGGAAAATTGTTTATTCGTCCTTATATACATCATTGTAACAGAAGATAATTTTCGATGACAGGTAAATCAACTTTTCCCCATATTTTTAGAAAACTCAATGCCAAAATAAATCTAGCTTCAGTCACAACTTGGGCCTAGAAACTACCGGGAGTTTCTGTTCCAATTCGAATGGATCACTTCGCTTGTGCAAGCCCTGGCAATGATGCCCCTTTAGTGTATCTAACTTTCACTTGAAAGATTCGACAGATTTGGTTTCATTAACGTATTCACTTAATGAGTTCCGCTCTTTTATGACTATATGTGAATGTCGATAGTCAGCTGGCAAGTAATCTGTTCTGGTCTTGTAAACGTTCTTTATGGTGTCCTCATAAATCTACTGTTGTGAAAGATAAAAAAGTGAGGACATGTCATATACAAATTTATTATTTAGATTTTATTTAAAACAGACCTCTTTGAAGTCAATCTTTCTTCCTTTGATCGATGTGAGACAGCTGTTACCGAGCTTATTTGAGGTGGCTGTACATCAATTTCTGTGTCAAATGTAACCTGACGTGGTTTACCAGTACACTTTTTAGCTGCATCTGAGAGGCACTTCTTACAAAACCACAAGCAACCATTTTTACCAAGCGGTTTGAAAACCGCAGACGTTAGATTAGTAAGTGAATGCCATATCTTAGTGATCGGCCCCTTAGGGAACATGAACATTCTCAAGATTGTAAAGCTTGAATAGTTTGTTCTAAAATCATACTAAATTTGGGAGGGAATTAACTTTCTATTTGGAAACCTGCACATTTTATTTTTAATATTTTTTTCTTAAATTTCATCAACCTTACGGGTTAGGTATACAAGCCAATAGTTCGTCTTCTTTTTTTGAAGACAGAGCTTATTACGGTGTTTTTTCAGTCGTCGGCTAATTCGCATTTATAATACAGATAGAACAAAATGTCTTCGTCGTACGTGCTTTGCCAAAACAGTCAGGCAATACCAGACAATACTGTAGTCGTCTATTACTGATAATGTAATACTGCTATGAAATTCAGAATAGTGTAGCAAGAATGAGGGGCTGCTGTCTATCCCAGCCTATTTTAGTAGGCTTCTGTGTGTCTAATCTTTTCTTAAATGAGACAGATGAAGGTACGGGTACCACTTCTTCGGGTAACAGGTTTCAAGTATTAGTGTTTTAGTGACCTACTTTTATAACCGATTGTACCGGGGATTGTTTTACCGTACTCGTTTGTTTACCAAAACACAAACATTCTTCTGTTGATTGTGACTTTGCACGCGCTTACGTTTGCTCAGTTATTCCGTTTGTATTCCTTTGGCACGATTTCGGTATTCTTTCGATACCACGAGATCGTCAACAAATACATCTCGATTACAACTATCAACTGCCTTCTAGTATCTGGCACGCAACCTTCTTGTAGTGGTGATTATAGTCAACTGTGACTCGACGCCACACTACAATGTCTCGATGTGAAAGTCTGTATACCACGCGTAATTCATTCGTCCTTGGCTTTTCCACCACTAAGTTATGTATTCTGAGTTTACCCAATCTGATAGGAAGAAAAAGTGAGGATATATCAGGTCCAATATCATTTCCTAAACTTCAATACATCAAAATCAGATTGCATATTAATCTGCGGTACGACGGAGTAAAGACGTCTAGCTTTTCAAGCTGCTCTTCTTATGGCAAACCCCGGAGTTCTGGAATTGCGCTGATAGCTACCCTTTGTACTTTATCCAGAATATCCGAGTCACCCCAAGTGCACATGTATCTACATCCTCTGTTATTTCTCACCAGATTTTTACGCCATCAGATTAGAGTAGCAACGCGGACTACACTACAACTGGGACTTCATTTACGTTGAGTATACAAAATCGAGACTCTAGGACTGAGCCTTATGAAGCTCCACAAAGTAAAGGTAAAGCACTAGGAATTTGTCCCTACTACCTATCTATCTCATACCAGGAAATTCTCAGTCCGTTTTAAAAGATATCCTGCAATCACCATGTTTTGCAGCTTCAAGAGCAGTCCATTTGTTGTCTATGTAGACAATATTCACTAATTTTCTAATATCCAGAATCTCTAACTCATGCTTTCTTGCTATGAAGAAATTTGTTTTTCAAGACAAACCACTTCAGAAACCATATTTATCACCTTTTGAAAAGTTTGTGATTTCTGGGAATGCCATTGTGGTCATCTTGATTATTATTTGGATTATTTTAACCATGACGCTGGCTGGGCTAACAGGTCTGTAGCTTGATGGAGGCTGTCTTGAAACTGTTTTTTGTGCTGGAGTGACAATTGCATCATCACCGTGAGTAAAGTAGTATGTCCAAGTGAGGTGAGAAGTTTCTTAGGTCATATTCGTGGGATCTCTGATGCACTGGATTAAATATTGGCGATTGTGGTTTTTAACGATTCTCGATGTTTTCGATGACTCTGCATCTATGTTTCACCGATTTATAGATGGTGCATTAAAGTCGCCTACACCTGTTTGACCAGGAATTAAATTTACTGAGAAGGAAGCCACACACTACATATTCTCGAGAGTGACATACTACAATTAATACAATGTCGGCAGCGCATCAGTTCACATGTCTCTGAGCCATGTACGACCGTCTTAACAGCTCGTATGGTTAAGGTGCTTTTCGTATACAGGACAAACCTACCACCCCTAAGGTTCAATCGTCCAGCCCGATTAAGTAAGAAACCAAGCAATTGAATTTCACTATCATAGACATATGACGTTGATCCTGTTTCATAGATGGCAATGACATCCGAGTTTCCTGTGTCCGCCACTGTTTTAAGCTTCGCCATCTTATTTTGCAGGTTGAGACCATTTGTGTACCATAAGCTTAATCCCATGAAGGACTTTCCCTTACCACCCAGACGTCACCACAACTTTCGGTCTGTTTAAATTCTGAAAGGTGCCACTTAGACTAAAAAATGCAGCTCAAACATTCTAACAATTAGTAGGTGAGGTCTGTAGAGGACTGGATTTGTATTTGTGTATATTGATGATATTCTGGCTGCCAGCTCTGGTCAGATAAAACTGACGACATTTATTCAAGGGATTCTATGGGCTGGATGGATGATAGTGGTTCAACCGTGTTTTTTCCAGTCTAATGTTGCTGACATGTGCTGTCGTTCTGGTAGAACTATTCGCTTTACTCGGCCACATTTCAGGCATAAAAGTCATTGGCGACATACTGAAGATGCTCATAAACGACGGTATTATGCCAGTGAATAGCTACAAACTATAGTCACTATAGTACGTCTGAAGATTTTCTTTGACCACTTGAAGCAGAAATTTTCATATTCGCATAAAAATCTAGCTATCGGTACGTCTGTTCAACGATTCTTGAACTGTTCATTCTATAAGCGTTTTTGTTGTTCATTACATTCAGTAAATTATTCCATGTAATGGTCTGTCTGGTTCAATGTCAAAAATGCACATTTTTCGTTTAATCTGCCATACTTATCCTTCATATACATAACACAGGTAACTAAAAATCATCACTCGATCAAACTAACTAGACGATTAATGTATTGAAATAACTGTAAAGCAAAAATAAAAGAAGTAAAACACGCATAACACACAACAGTTCCATAAAATAATGTGTACAGGTAATACGTAGGGACAGAAGATTCATAAAAATAATAAGAAACAAACATTGAAAGTTTAAGAAAACTTGTTGTCACATCAAACACACATATAGGAAGTAATATGAATAAATATTTTGTTTTAAAGTGAAAAAAATCATTTCGATTGCAATGAACCAACCCAGATTGAAAACACTTTAATCGGTGAAGTTCAATTTACCTGGGATCATCACCGTTCAAGATCAACGCTTAATTAATGGAGAATAACACAACGAAATTAGTTAGTCTCCAGCAGAAAAATATTCATTTCACTTTTGCCCAATGATTGATATTGTTTATTAGCTACTGAAATTAACCCATGATATACACCGTCCAGGCTTTTCTTCAGAAAACTAGAAACATTTCGTCTCGTGTCGTTTGTAAGTCTATGCTCCTGAAAAATGTATATGCTAAGGACCATTTTGTATCGCCAATAAACCAAACACAAACTTGGACATTTGAATGGAATGTCCTCTCCTTTGAGTAAATGCTTGATACAAGAATCGGTGACGAAAGGTTTCAATGCTAAATCGAAGTTTCTTTTCTCAAGCACACTTATTAAGAATAGAATAAAGTGAAAAGACATTCAACAACAAGAAAGATAGATACAAAAGACTATAGAGATCTGGTCCATTAAGAATAAGTATAATCAATGGAAGAATGGTGATTTTTGAAGTAAGCAGATTGATTATAAGATATAAAGCTTTTAGATTATTTGAGTAGCAGCAGTTATCAGATCTGAAAATAACTGGTATCTGTCGCCGTTCACCTATGATTGGATTCTTTAACACGCTTCATCTCATAAGTTACATTATAAAGGTCACAACAACTAAAGCACAGCACGGAATGAATAGTTGACAAAAGCTGGAAAGGTTTCAATGAATGGAAATAAAACTAAATAGACCTTCCAACAGAAAATAACGAGTCAAATAACTCTCATAAATAATATTCTAGTCATGCAGAATAATAATAATAATATTAACCATCAAAGATAAAAGAAATCGAATACATACATCAATATTTTAAAAACTAAAACAAAGAGGGAAAGCATGTATTTGGTTTAGCGTGAAAACAGGGAATTTTATTCATTAAAGCATAATAATAGGAAAAGGGGCTGAATATGCAAGGGAATGAATTTAGTTTATTTTCACCCTTTCTATAGAAATGTTGGTCCTAAATGTCTTGATTGCCTCTCTTTATGAGATTTACAAATGCATCGTAATCCAATTTGCCTTCTTTAATTGGAGCTTCTTTCCACGTTTGTCTTATCTACATGGAGGCGAAATAAAAGGTTTGCATGACATACATTTAAATTACAATCAAGATTTATTGAAATAAGTGAAACATTTTTTTGAAATTTGTGTTAGGTAATTGTCCAGTGTTCTCGAATCTTAGTCTAAATCCTTAGGGTTTTATGAAATAAACTGCACTCAACTTAGAATTATCTGATATTAAACGCTGATGTAAATAAGGGGTGGTGAAAACATTAATGCGAACAAACCTGTGAATAAAAGAAATGAGTATCCTGTAACTACAGTAGTGATAAGTACGTAAAAGGGAAACTTTGCCTATAGCTTTTCTAGAGTTACTGTCGGTCCCAAGCCAGGTAAAGGAGGACGGTTGGGCATGGGGTTAGTGACCCCATCGCGTAGAAAACTAACTCGCTAAAAAACGCTAACTAGAAAAATAATATAGATCATTTAAACTTTGCCCTGGAAGTTAGAAGGTCTTCATTTATAAGAACTATGACGCTTCATGGTGAAAGCCGAGTTCCTTCTGAAGCCACGAGGCTGATGCCCCTTCTAACAACCAGAGCAACAATTTTTATAGGTACATGGAACATCCGGACAATGTGGGAGTTCAGTCTAATAGCAACGGAAATGAGGAGATACAACTTGACAGTACTGGGAATCAGCGAAACCTATTGGACCCAAGCTGGACAACAAAGGCTAAATACGGGAGAGATGTAGTGTCAGTTACTATGTTAAGCCCATATAATGTATTCTAACTTTCGGACATTCCATTCTATTCATTCTACTTTAGTCATATGTCGACCTTGTCAATTATTCGCTTGTCAGTTTTAATTGTTTTTATATGAGCGTATATGTGTGTACACATCATATCCCATGACTCATTGCATGTCTGTAGCTTATTTTTGTCTGCCTATAAATATTGATTAACGCCTGACTAAAAATGAGTTGGCTTACCAGCCATCTCCACTCTGCGTCGCTTCTCTTCCTTCTATTCCATTCACCTCATATACAAAATATATGTATTCAAAATCCCATTCTCGTTATTTGACTTATTTAATTTCGTTATTGGCTAACGTGATTTAAGTCGACGATTATATACGATTATAGGCGATAACAACCATTCGTACGATCTAACTGGAGTCAGATCCATGGGTCACTAAATAGGTGCTACTATACTCCGCCCACGAAGAGGAAAATGCTTCAGACACTCAGGGAGTTGCTCTAATGCTGTCCAAAGTAGCACGAAATGCACTTGTAGGATGGGAATCTCACGGATCCAAAATCATCAAAGCATCATTCAAAACAAAGAAGGAGGGGATCACAATGAATATTATCCAATGTTATGCACCCACCAATGGTAGCAACGACTACATTAAAGATCAATCCTATGAGAGGCTGCAATCAATCATAGAGAAATGCCAAAGAAAGGACCTCACCATTCTGATAGGAGATCTAAACACCGAAGTCGGAATAGACAACACCGGATATGAAGATATCATGGGACGACATGGATTGATTGGGAGAGAGAAACGAAAATGGGGAAAGATTTGTAAATCTGTGTGCATTCAGCAAATCGGTCATAAGAGGCAGAATATTTCTACACAAACGTATACACAAAGCTACATGGATCTCACCGGACCACACCACAGAGAACCAGATAGATCATATTTGCATCAATAAAAAGTTCCGAAGGACAACGGAAGATGTGAGAAGCAGGAGAGGAGCTGACATAGCTTCAGATCACCACCTAGTTGTGGACAATTTAAAACTGAAGCTAAAGAAGAACTGGACAACTGGACAAAGAGCAATACAAAGGTTCAATAGAGCTTTCCTTCGAGATACCGACAGATTCAATGAATTCAAGATAGCTCTCAACAACAGGTTCCAAGCCTTACAAGATCCACTGAAGGAAGAAGAAACTACTATGGAGGACAACTGGAAAGGCATCAAATAAGCATTGACTTCAACGTGTCAAAAGGTTCCGGGCCAAAAAACCGTCATAAGGAGTGAATCTCTATAGAAACTCTGGACAGGATCAAAGAAAGGAAGAACATGAAGATAGCAATTAACAACAGTCGAACACGAACAGAGAAAGTCCAAGCACAAGCTGAGTACATAGAAGCAAAAAAAAACAAGCAAAGAAGAGCATTAAAGCCGACAAGAAGAAATACGTGGAAGAACTAGCAACGACGGCGGAAAAAGCTGCAAGAGAAGGAAATATGAAACAGCTTTACGATACAATAAAGAAACTAGCAGAGAAATACAGTAAACCAGAGAGACCGGTGAAGGACAAAGAATGCAGGCCAATCACTGAAATTCAACAACAGTGGGACAGATGGGTAGAGTACTTCGAGGAACTCCTGAATAGGCCGACTCCAATGAATCCACCGGACATCGAAGCAACACACACAGATCTTCCTATAGTTGGCAATCCACAAACGGCGGAAGAAATCAAAATGCCCATCAGACAAATCAAGAGCGGGAATGCAGCAGGACCCGACAATATACCAGCTGAAGCACTGAAGTCAGACATCGAAGTAACTACTAACATGCTTTACCTTCTAATCAAAAGGATTTGCGAGGAGGAACAAGTGCCGATGGAGTGGAAAGAATGACACCTCATCAAGATTCCAAAGAAAGGAGATTTGAGCAGGTGTGAAAACTACAGAGGCATTACACTACTGTCAATACCAGGAAAGTCTTTAACAGAGTGTTGCTGAACCGAATGAAAGACGCAGTAGACGCCCAACTTTGAGATCAACAAGCTGGATTCCGTAGGGATCAGTCGTGCACAGACCAAATTGCGACACTATAGATAATCGTGGAACTCGTCACTGTACATCAACAGTGTAGATAGGAGGACACTACGGAAACTTCTTCGATACTACGGGGTTCCTGAGAAGATTGTCAACATTATCCGGATCTCATACGACGGACTACAGTGCAAAGTAGTGCATGGATGACAAGTGACAGATGCATTCCTAGTAAGGACCGGAGTCAGACAAGGCTGTCTACTTTCTCCCTCCCTCTTTCTTCTGGTGGTCAGCTGGATTATGATGTAAGTAACGTAAAAGGGAAGTTTACGAATAAAATAGTACAAAATTCACAAAATTTTTCTTCCAATCCTTCAAATTTGCAGTCAATTTGAATTTTGGACAGAATTACCAAAGAATAGATAATTTAAGCTCAATATGCAAACATTATAATTAGAATATAATTATTAGCCTAAATTCATGTTATATTACATTTAAGAAAATGGAGTCTAGTTCCAAGATGAATTGACAAAAATAGTTTAAATGTACACTGGCTTATTCATATATTTATCTCACACATTGGCTGATCTTTATGAATATTCTCCTTAACTTACATCTATTTTATTTAATCTAAACAATTTCGAATTCTAAAATTTAAACAACAAATTACTATAAAATTACTTATTCAAAGAAAAGACTATTATTCAGTTTCATTCACTCACCTCTTCAGCAGAGAAATTATCGCCCATATTTTCTAAAAGATCTTTGATGCTAAAATATGATTATGATTAATTGTAAGGTATAAAACACCTACTATTCTTCTTCCAAATATCGTTTGTTCCCTGGATCAAACATTGCGAATGCATTACGTAGTGCGTCTTCAGGATCAGTACCTGAAACACAAAACCAAATTGTGAAAAGATAGTTTATTCATTATAGTTTTAATGGTTACTTTGAAAATGAATTGAAATTTATATGTGAATCATTAAAATTAAGAAGCAATAAACAGGTATACAATATTAGGCTGGAAATCTGTATTACTAAGTAGTCATAATCGCACACATTACTAAACTCGAGACATTAAGGTTCTATTATAGACATATGTTTTATCAGTGTCTGAAATTCTCCACAAGTAAACTACAATTAACTATTGTAGTTTATCATCATGGGGATTTGTGGAGATTTTAACAGTTGAATTCACGAGTGTCAATTCAAGCTAGACAATCATTGAAAACCTGAAATCGCTGAACGTCCGTTTTGTACTAGTATGGGATCGCGGATGCGCACCGCTGAGGAGTCCCAAACTAGTACGAAACGACCTTCCAGTGCTTCCAGGTTTTCAGTGGTCGTCTAGCTGAGATTGATACTCATGAGTTCAACTGTTAAAATATAGTGGTTTAGTTAAAAATAAACATGAATTATTTAACTTGAGTCAACAAAAAAGTTTACCATTTAGTTTTTCACCGAATAAGTTGATAAACATTGTGAAATTCAATGGACCAGGTGATTCATCTAACATTTCTTTCAATTCTTTATCAGTTGGTGTCCGACCTATGTAAATTAGAAATACATTCATTTTAAATTGAACATTCCAAAGTTAATTCTTACCCAACGATGCGTACATATCTTTTAAATCTTCAATATCAATAAATCCGTCACGATTTTGATCGATCAACGTAAAGGCCTAACCATTCATATGGATATTTATTTTATCATTAAATTATATAGATTAGAGGTATACCTCTTTAAATTCTTGAATTTGATTTTGAGGGAACATTCCAAAAACATTTGAAGTAGCTCTTTGAGCTCGTTTACCACCACCACCGCCTCCACTACTTGCTGTCTCTTTTTTATCTTCTGCTGGAGGTCCTGCATCTTCTTCTTTGTTTTCTTTTTTCTCCTTTTTCTCTTTCTTTTCTTTCTTTTCCTTTTTCTAAAATGATTTTCAATGAGTTATAGAAGAAGAAAGATGGGCTTATATGTTGCATAGAGGTAGTTAATATGTTAAAACTAATAACTTTGATATGATTAATGATGATATAGCTCACTTATAATTAACATGTGATTTTAACACTTAACTGATTCGGTTAGAAAAAGGATGGAGATATCTTTCATAGGAATTTGTATTTTCCAAGTAACTATATAGATTATATTAGACTTGTATCAGTCTACGTCAAATGACTCTTTTCTCGCATAATTTATCTGAAATATATTTGAATAAGAGAGTGATTTCTTGGTATGGGTGGGAATGATAAGAGATAATTTGAATATTGGTTGCTGTAATTAAACAAATTTCATAGATTGTTACTTACGAGAAATTCACCTTCGTTGTAATGCATCAACTTTCTAGGATCCAAAGTAAGTTATTTCATTGAAACTCATCCACTTATAATTTGTTATATAAATTAAAGAGATTTAAATTTCTTCAGAATAATTATTCAGATACGTAAGTGTTACCATTCAATTAAAGTCCTACAGATATTTGTCTGATGTCAAAAAGTATTTTGGCTAAGTAGTCAATGGAGCCAAAAAATGAATAAATAGATTGTAATTCTATTTGATGACCCATTGATATACTGATTAGTTTTAGGTAGTTATATGTTCGTGAATTCTTGTTTGAAGGAACACCATATAAAGCATCTAGTCTCGATAAGCGGTAATTAAATGAGGTATTAAATATCACCATCATGAAAACTGGAACAACACACAACGAGATAGTTATCAGGCTTTACTGTAATATTCAAGAATATTTATATGGATATATGAAACTATTTAACCAATAAGGGGAATTTGAGTCAATTCTCAAAATGAAGTAGATTGCATAGCTACATATAATAGGTCAAAAAATACCAGCTATTAGTAGAAACGTAGATGTGTTAGTTGCGATAAGAGAAGTAAAAGGATTAAATTTCCATTCAGCAGTTCAACACAGATGATAATCAATAAAATTTACTGAAATTATATAGTAAGAAGTGTATAACTACTCAGATAGGGAAGAATATAAACGGAAGAAGGTGAATAACGACAAATAAATGATTTTGATGGAGTTTTGTTCTCTGAGCTGGATGGCTTGGTAGTGGATCTTTCATCGTTCTTCTAAACGACATCATCAGCACAAACTTCAGATAGAAATAAATGGGCAGAATTAAAGTTGGAAACAATTTAAGATTGACTGACAATATTCGTAGTGATTTTTAGACACAATAGTATTATCTAAATGTCCTATACAGTATATTTTTGATGTATTCATCTATTGGTTAGACATATTTTTAGTGAAATAAGCAGGACTACTAATAGGTATTGTTTAAAAACTCCTATCTACTTAATAGATCATTTCAACTATGGTCAATCAATTAACATACTGGATAGAGACAGTAAATATTCTAAACAAAAAATTCATGAAAGTCCGTAAATACGGATACTTCGGCGCTTAATAAGTCAATAATCTATCTGTCCATTTAAACATTTGTTATGTATTCACATATGATATGTAATAACAGTAATTGTAACGATAAAAATACGAATAATCCTCTGATAAAGTAATAATTTCGTTTAAGGTAATAACAGAAGTTCATTTATTGGGGTTTTAACTAAGGGATTTTAGAATTTATATTCTCTTGTATTGGTAAATATTATATATTATATTATATTATAATTAAGAAAACAATTCAGTAGTTAAAATTGTTTGTTTCTTTTTGTTGAGTTTCTTAATTATCAAAAAATTGAAAACAATAACTTAATGTAAAAGCTATATTATAAAATCTGATGAAACCAATTATATTACTAATGTCGAGAAATTAGCCTACTTCACCACCTCATGTTGTTTTGAAAGGATATTGAATTTGGTTTCGAATACTAATTATCACATTCGTATTCACTTTCAAACGTATTTCCAGGGGTTACCACCTGTTTGAATGTTCCCACCTCTAGTCTAATCAGTTAAGTTTGCTCAATATTGTGGGATCTTGTCATCTTGTTGACACATATGAATCAAGCTTAATGATTTTTCCAGTCATCTCATGAATAATTTATAGCAGATGAATGTTAAATCAAATTTCATTTTATTTTCTCAGTTATATAGGGTGTTATGTTGGACTCACTGTATTGCGATTTCCTATCTACCCTGTAAACAAAGATTTTAATAACAATTAGTACCGGATAAATGGCAGTACCTAGTCGACTTTCTTAAAAGCTGTTAAAAGTATAAGCGTTTAAAGATTAAATCTTTATAATGTCTTTAATAATATTTGAATGCTTGCATTCTGAGTTGTTGTCTACGACATAATACAAGCATTTCTGTCGGAATAGTACGGATAATTGGCGGTTTAATTGGCTTATGATATTTAATAGGATAATGACTAATCGCTATTTTTGTGAAAGGAAAGAAACCACTAGAAGGAAAATAAATCTCAGGAAAACCATGAATACATGAAAAGATTTATTCAACTCAGTAAAATTACCTCTTTATCTATAATTCAATACATTCTTAACAAATAACTTAAGTAAAATCAAAGTATTCTTACAAAAAGTAAATTTAACTACAAAGTAGCTACCTAGAGGGATGTGGCTGTAGATTATCGAAAGATATGAAGAAACTATATATAATGATGTAAGATATATAATCTCTTAATTATTTGGTTTTATAACTGTACAACTGGAACAGTAAGATTGCTTTCACAGTAGTACAGTAGGTAAAACTGTTTAGTTTTCGTAGACGAAATCTTTCTCAATAAACATATTTGTTGTTAGACGAAATTCTCTATATTTCTTCCATACAGTCATGACAGAGTTTGGTATTTAATAAAAGTATTAGGTTCAGTATAGTTACTCAAACACAATAACCCATCGTTGTTATGTTATTATATTTAATATGTAAAAAAACTTCCACTCCTTATCACAACTAGCAATAATTCAGTTAGATGTACTTACCTTTTCTTTACACTATTCTGACCATTAACCATATTTAATATTTAACACTCAACTTTACTCGTTTGGTAATCAATATAATTTTTTGCAATAGAATAAATATCAGAAGGGGTTTTGTGGAGATTTCAGAAATTTCACTGGTTGAAATCATGAGTCAATTGAAGCTAGACCACCATGGAAAACATGGAAGCACTGGACGGCCGTTTCGTCCTAGTATGGGACTCCTCAGCAGTGCGCATCCACGATCCTGCACCCCGCGAGATTCGAACCGAGGACCTATCAGTCTCGTGCCAGTGCTTCCAGGTCTTCCACAGTGGTCTAGCTTCAACTGACTCATGATTTCAACCAGCGAAATAGAATAAATGATAATAAAAAAACAGTCATGACATATTGATCATTATTAAAATCTAACTTACTTCTTCTCCCATGTTAACTTAACACAGAATCACTAGTGTAAAACAAAATGAAGCTTCTAAAATTGATGGAATTTTCATTCGATAAATATATATATACATGGAATTACTGGAACGTGGGCGTTCCATTAAAATGTATCAATGAAAGATTTGTATTATATTATTGAAAAAAAGTCAGTAATATTCCATTTCTTAACTGTGTAAATTTCCTATTCATTTTCATATATAGTCCAATCAAATTTTCTAGTGATATTTGTGCACAGGCATAACAATAATAAACATTCATAACTGTGTAATCTAGTAATGTAAAATTTTACTGAATAATAATAGTTTTCTACATTGTATATACATGATATTGAATAGAAAATATTGTAACCTTTCTTTCACCTAATCTTAGAAAAAATCAATAATGTGTAGAAAAACACATCAAATAATGAAACTACCTTTCTTAATATTCGATTACTATATTGGGTTTTTTTTGGTTGTAGATTTCAAATGATTGGTTTAAATCCAAAGGGAAAATTATATTACTCCATGACAAATATTTACTGTTAGAAAAGAACTATGTACAAAAAAAAAGAAAGATTATGATGATTAGGAGTATTTGAATTATAGTAAAAACTAAAAATCCCAGAAATAACGTAATTGGATCAAGAAGTACTAGATAAACAAAAACGAATGTACTGTATTTGGAATTCGAAATCAAACATTCAACAAGTACAAACGAATCATTAGTTCATTCAAACACCACAAAGATTCAAATGGAAATCATGATCATTACAAGATATAAGTTGATTCGTTTTAGTTGTGATGGCTTATTGAAAGATGAGTGATTTTAAAAATTGCCTGTTCCTAAGAGACTAAGTAGGAATCACCCTTAATTATAAAAAAAGTGTATTTTATCTGGGTAATAGACGAGTGAACGTGTTGCTCTGGATGTTAGAATAATATCAGTGTAACAGGAAATCACTTAAGATGTCCAAAATGATCTGGGATTATTGAGAAAAGCAATCAAGTAGAACCTTATCTACTACATTCAGTAATTAATTTATCTTGCTTTTACTGAAATGGTCTGTGAGAAAATTAATATTATTATTATTATCACTGATACTATCAAATAGTATGTTAATGAAGTGAAACATTTTACTGCTAATCTTTTGGGTATAGTTATTCTAGTTTCCACTGAACTAAATACAAAAAAATGGTAGTAGAATAATATGAATCTATTAATTTCAACAGGAGAATGTATATGTAGATTTGTAAGGAGTAATAAATGTAGATCAGTGACGGGCATTGTTCATACGACTGAATATTCCTAGAAAACAAAACTAATAAGAGCATCAAGACAGAAGTCTAAAAAACGAGCTTCATAATTAAATTCACTGGAGTATTAATTGGAGATAATCTACAAAAAACCATGAACCTAACTTTCACTTTAGTAAACAACTTTCAGCAAAACTCACCAAGAATCCTAAGCAAACTGACTCACATTGTAGGATCTGAAACCCCCTCACTCATTTTCATGGTTTTAAACCATGGTAATGAGCAGTTTGTTCTGTGACTGACTTCGTGTATGATTTAAATATTGACAAGCCCAGATAAATGTCTAAGAAAACTGAAAAAATATTAATAACTTAGCACATAATATACGGTATTAAGTAACTAAGTAGTGAAAATCGAGTTCATTAGTGGAAGTAAGGTAATAGCAATAATGAAATATTATGAAAATAGCAAACATAACTGGGTGAATATTTGCATCAGACTGCATTACACCCTAGTAATCATATTTTTACAAATATAGATTTTCGTTTGATTGAATTGGATAACATGTATAACATAGACTAAATAAATACTAATTCTATTCATTGAATTTTTTTCAAACTCATGTGTGATATGCTGTTTGACCATTTAACTTCTCAAGGCTGTACACTGTACAGGCGACTCTCAGGTTGTTCTAGCTATTTCAAAGGTGAAACCCAAGCTATTTGTGCACTTTTAAAATACTAATACTAATTATTCAATACAATTCTTTTTGTTCAATATTGTATCTCTCTAAATGACGGTTTCTCTATACATTAAGCTTTCCTGCTTACAGAGTTTCAACATACAATAGTCTATTGTGAAGTTGAGAGCCTTATACTGATCACTATGTTGAAATGTGACTAATCAAACATAGCATTAGGGATCAAATTCTCTTGGTTACTGTTTAACGAGTTATTAGCTCAATTTATTTACTCCCACAGACTGCTGCGAAGGGAAGAGAGTAAAGCGAAATGACGTGCAGTGGAGAAGGCATGTTAGCCAATTCCATTTAACCAAGCGTTAATCAATATTAAAAGCCAGATAAAAATAGGTCACAGAAATGTGATGAATAAAAACAGTCAAGGTTGATAAGTAAAAAATTAACAAGGTTAAAACATGACTCAAGAAAAATTTCCAGACGCTAGAATAAGTTATATGAGTTTAACATAGTAACCGACACTACACCAGGTAGCAGCGGGTATAATATTGCAACTCTACATTCAGTTACAGTTACATTAGTTACATTACATCAGTTACATTAGATATAACAGTTAGCAAGTCGACAAAACGTAGTATCCAACCAATTCACAATAAATTGATATTCGAATTAAGTGATTAGGTATTATATGAATAAAGATCTATGGTATTTGATAAGTAAAACATTAATGGTTTAAATCCAACTAGAAAGTAGTTTCGAACGACATTAATTAGGTTAGATTAAGTTGATAGATATAAAATATTTTGAAGATTTAGGATGTAATTTTCCCTCAAAAACTGTACATATATCGCTTTGAAGTCACGATTTACTTGAGGTGAATAACTGGTAACATTCACACTAACACACACATCACGACCTTGACAGCTGAAGTATAGGCCAATAACGAAAGGCTGAAAAATCAGGTATCGATCAGTTAAATGTAGTTGATAGTGGTATTTAGTCAATTAGCGTGTTTCACTACATCTATAAGTTATTTTTACTATGGAAACTGTCATTTGTTTAGAAAAATACTGAATAACTGGTTATTTGATGATTAGGTTTAGGTACAAATGTACAAAATACCCATGAAAATACATGGTAGAGATGTTTATTATATTATTTAACCAGATTCTTGTTTTTTAGAATGACTAGTCCTAGTCAGTTCAGAAATGTAGAAGTTTCTTCATATTGTTCTTTAGATACAGGATATCTTAGAAAAAACGCTCTGATTGAAAAAAACAATCAGAATTTTTCCAAAGTTTAATAAAAATGGGGGAACAATAGAACCTCTATTTCAGTTGATAAAAAATAGTTCCCAAATAAATAAAATTCTAACTTGCATCAACCATAACCAATAAAAGTTATCGCTTTTGAGTTACTTAGTTCTCTTATGACACTATAATTTTGGATAAAGAATCATGGTAGCTGAAGACAACCAATTTACAAAAGAACATTGGTGAAAAGTAGTCACTGAAAATGAAGGACATTAGAATTACCTCCCAGTTTAGATCTGAAAACTACGAACTACTATAATATGACTAATTGTTTTATTAGTAACCTGATATGGAGGTTTTGCTCTCAATCCACTAAGCGACTTATAGTATGCACTATTGAGAAATAAAATAAAATGACTAGTTAATATGATTGATTTCATTCATTCATCACGCCTGTTACTCCTCGTGAAGGAGCATAGGCCGCTCACCATCATTCTCCATCCAATCCTGACCTGGGCAATCCTTTCCAGGTCCTTTCAGTTGTTATTCATCCTTTTCATATCTGCTTCTATTTCCCCACTCAATGTGTTCCTTGGTCTTCCTCTTTTCCGCTTTCCTTCAGGATTCCAAGTTAGGGCTTGTCTCGTGATGCAGTTTGACGATTTGCGTGATGTATGTCCTATCCATTTCCATCGTCTTTTCCTAATTTCTTCTTCAGCTGGAAGCAGATTTGTTCTCTCCCACAAAAGGCTGTTGCTGATGGTATCCGGCCAATGGATGTTGAGTATCTTGCGAAGACAGCTATTTATAAATACTTGTACCTTCTTGATGGTGGTTGTTGTAGTTCTCCAAGTTTCAGCTCCATACAGTAGAACTGCCTTGACGTTGGTATTGAAGATTCTCACTTTGATATTGGTTGAAAGTTGTTTTGAGTTCCATATGTTCTTTAACTGTAAGAATGCTGTCCTTGCTTTGCCAATCCTTGCCTTTACGTCTGCGTCTGAACCCCCTTGTTCATCGATGATGCTTCCCAGGTATGTGAAGGATTCTACATCTTCCGGAGTTTTGCCATCAAGAGTGAGTGGATTGCTGTTCTCCGTGTTGTATTTGAGAATCTTGGTTTTCCCCTTGTGTATGTTGAGGCCTACTGATGCAGAGACTGTTGCTACACTGGCTGTCTTCATCTGCATCCGTTCGTATGTATACGATAGGAGGGCTAGGTCATCGGCGAAGTCCAAATCGTTTTATTGATTTTGAGCTGTCATTTGTATTCTGTATTTTCCTTCAGATGTCGAGGTCTTCATAATCTTGTCGACCACTAGAAGAAAAAAGGAAGGGAGAGAGTAAACAGTCTTGTCTGACTCCGGTCCTTACTTGGAATTCATCTGTCAGCTGTCCTCCATGCACGATTTGCATTGTAGTCCGTCGTATGAGTTCCGGATAATATTGACAATCTTCTCAGGAACTCCATAGTGTCGAAGAAGTTTCCATAATGTCCTCATACCCACACTGTCAAATGCCTTTACATAATCAATGAAGTTGATGTACAGTGACGAGTTCCACTCAATTGGTTGTTCCACGATGATCTGTAGTGTCGCAATTTGGTCTGTGCACGACCGATCCCTACGGAATCCAGCTTGTTGATCTCAAAGTGGAGCTTCTACTGCGTCTTTCATTCAGTTCAGCAGCACTCTGTTAAAGACTTTCCCTGGTATTGACAGTAGTGTAATGCCTCTGTAGTTTTTACATTTGCTCAGATCTCCTTTCTTTGGTATATTGATGAGGTGCCCTTCTGTCCAGTCCATCGGCACTT